GGATATAAAATTTCAGGAAAGACGAGGAGGGAGAGGGGGAGAGGAGTTGCACGTCATTTTAAAAACCCGTGGGGTTTTTGAGGAAATTGGGGGAAAGGGAAAGGATGGCATGGGGGGAAAGGGATATTAGTAGGAAAATCCCGTTGAGGGGGCTAAGGTGATAATTGCAGTAATGTACAACCACCACAGAAACCCGCAGGAGGCCAAGAGAAAAAATAAAAAAGATTGAAGCAACAGAGCAATGTCAAAACACTAGCGAGGTGGCCAGGGGGCACACATGGGGGGGCAAAAATTACTAGTTTGGGTGATTTTTAATCAAAGGAGATTGACTGGGAAAAAATGGGGCCCATGGGGGTCCCGAAAAATGGAGAGCCCAAAATGTGGATGTGGGCGGAGAACCCCATGCATCAAAATGTTTGAGGGCATACCCGAGAGAGAGGAAGGTGAACCCGAAAAGGGTTTGGGCCTTGTATTCACCATGAGTAGTTCGGACATCGAGGGTTTTATGTATGAAAGGCCCCCGGGGTAGTGATCATGTGGTCGTGCTTCGACCATGTTGGCTCCAAGTGGAGAAAAGGAGAGGAATAGGCTGGGAAAAACCAAACTACCCAAAAAGGGGAAAAATCAGGGGATGAGGAACTTCCCTTTAAGACATTCAGTGGGGGAGGGGAACTGACCCGGAAAACCCGTACAAGAAAAAGATGGACTTGTAGCAAAAAAAATGCAAGGAGGCAGAGGAGGGTTTGTTTCCCAAAGGGGAAAAAGAAAAAATGGGAAGAAAAGAAAGGGTCTTGGTTCACCCAAAGGGGTAGGGGAAAGGGAAAAAAAAGTGTTCTAGAGAATGGAAAAAGGTTTTTAAGAAGAGGGTCAGGAGAAAAAAGAAATTTAGCCGAAGGGAAAAAAAACCAGAAAACATATGCACAGTAAGAAAAAGGGGGGCTCAGAGACCCAAAATGAAAAATGACATAGCTTTAAAAGTAAAGACTGACCCCAAGTGTTGTACAGCCAAAATCAGGCGGGAAAAAAAACATTTAAGGACCCGGTTTTCAGACTGGGAAAAGGGGGATGGGGGAAATTTACAAGAAACGACCGGAGGTATGTCAGGAGCTCAAAACAAAATTTTTAAAAAGGGGGATTTCAGTTGGGGAACCCCGGAGGCTCCCAAAAAATCAGAACAAGGGGGGGCACCCAGCAAAATGCTGGTTTAGGTAATATAAAAGGAGGAGGTGAAGAAACTGCTATGCGAATTGACACCTCAAAAGGGGGTGGGGCCAGACCCAAAATCTCTCATGGGGCCTTTTAAAAAGGGAGCAGAGATATTTTTGGGAGCCATTTAAAAAAGATCTTTAACACAACATTTGAAATGGGGAACTCCCTGAGGGATTTGGAAAATTTCAAATGTAGTCCCCAATTTTTTTAAAAAGGGGGGACGGGCATGAGGCACTAAACAAAAGACCTGTATCTCTAAAGGGGTATAGTATTTTCAAGGTCATGGAAGGAAAATCATCAGGTGGGAAATGGTGGGGCACCTGGAAAAAAAACAAATGTAAAAATTGACAACCCGCTTTGGGTTTTAGGGAAGGGAAAAACCCGTGTCACAAACCTACTAGAGTTTTATGACAAGGTGGAAAAAGTAAGGGCAAGAGAGAGGGGGGGTGGATTTGACTGCGTATTTTTGGACTGCAAGAAGGCTTTCGGGCCGTTCCTCACAAGAGGTTACTGCAAAAGTAGAGGGGCCCGGCACACATAAAGGGGAAAGGCCCCGCAATGGATAGAGAATACCCGACAGGGAGGAAACAACGAGTCATGGTACGCGGGCGAGGTGTCAGAGTGGGCGCCTGTGACAAGCGGGGTTCCCCCGGGGTGGGCAGTTTTCCCAGGACCCGTTTCTGTTCTTGGTATACGTGAAAAGACATAAGGAAGGGATAGGGTCAGAAAGTGTCCTTTTTTTTGCAGGCCCATGTGAAATTAATGAGAAGAAACGGGAAACGGACAGGAAAACAGGGGAGGGGCTACAAAGGAAACTGGACAGGCTTACAAGCCTGGTCCCAGCAACTGGCTCCTTTTAAAATTTTAAACCCGCCAAAAAGCAAAGTCATGAAGATTGGGGAAGGGCAAAGAAGACCGCAGACACAATAAAAGTTTAGATGGCCAAAAAACTGCAAACCTCACTAAAGGAAAAAGATCTGGGGGTGGAAATTTTAAAAACCCCAGGGGATAAACTCCTGAGGCGCCCAAACAATCGATAACTGCTGCAGCATACGGGGCTGGCAAACCCACGGAAAAGCGTTCCGTACCCCAGTTTAAGGGGTTCGTTTTTTAAAACTTGTACACCAACCCACGTTTAGGCCCATACTGGGGGGATGCCCGCACCAGTTTTTGGAAAACCAACCTAGTCAAGCACGTCAAGAAATTAGAGAAAGTGCAAAGGTTTGCAAAAAAGACTTTGTCCCAGAGTACGGGGATTGTCCAAAGGGAAAAGGGGGTTGAGGGGAAAACGGCCTGACGACACTGGAGGCCGGAGGGTAGGGGGGAGGAATGATAACGGAAAATTAAAATACTGCGCGGAATAGACGAGGTGGACAAAGACGGGATGTTCCAGAGATGGGACACAGACACAAGAGGTCACAATTGGAAGTTGAAGATCAGATGAATCAAAGGGATGTTAGGAAGTATTTCTTCAGTCATAGAGTAGTCAGGCCGTGGAATAGCCTAGAAAGTGATGTGGTGGAGGCAGGAACCATACATAGTTTTAAGGCGAGGTATGATAGAGCTCATGGGGCAGGGAGAGAGAGGACCTAGTAGCAATCAGCGAAGAGGCGGGGCCAGGAGCTATGACTCGACCCCTGCAACCACAAATAGGTGAGTACAAATAGGTGAGTACACACACACACACACACACACACACAGAACAGCATTCCGACATCTTAATAAGGAATCATTCAGGACCCTGTACACCGTGTACGTTAGGCCCATATTGGAGTATGCGGCACCAGTTTGGAACCCACACCTAGCCAAGCACGTGAAGAAACTAGAGAAAGTGCAAAGGTTTGCAACAAGACTAGTCCCAGAGCTAAGAGGTATGTCCTACGAGGAGAGGTTAAGGGAAATCAACCTGACGACACTGGAGGACAGGAGAGATAGGGGGGACATGATAACGACATACAAAATACTGAGAGGAATTGACAAGGTGGACAAAGACAGGATGTTCCAGAGATTGGACACAGTAACAAGGGGACACAGTTGGAAGCTGAAGACACAGATGAATCACAGGGATGTTAGGAAGTATTTCTTCAGCCACAGAGTAGTCAGTAAGTGGAATAGTTTGGGAAGCGATGTAGTGGAGGCAGGATCCATACATAGCTTTAAGCAGAGGTATGATAAAGCTCACGGCTCAGGGAGAGTGACCTAGTAGCGATCAGTGAAGAGGCGGGGCCAGGAGCTCGGACTCGACCCCCGCAACCTCAACTAGGTGAGTACACACACACACACACACACACACACTCACACACACACACAGCAGTAAGACATGAAAGAGAGGGGTGGGTAAATTGCATTTTCTTGGACTATAAGAAAACGTTTGACACAGTTCCACACAAGAGATTAGTACAAAAACTGGAGGACCAAGCAGGGATAACAGGAAGGCACTACAATGGATCAGGGAATACTTGTCAGGAAGACAGCAGCGAGTCATGGTACACGGCGAGCTGTCAGAGTGGGCACCTGTGACGAGTGGGGTTCCACAGAGGTCAGTCCTAGGACCAGTGCTGTTTCTGGTATTTGTGAACGACATGACGGAAGGAACAGACTCCGAAGTGTCCCTGTTTGAGGATGATGTGCAGGTGATGAGAAGAATTCAATCGGACGAGGACCAGGAAGAACTACAAAGGAATCTGGACAGGCTGCAGACCTGGTCCAGCAAATGACTCCTGGAGTTCAACCTCACCAAGTGCAAAGTCATGAAGATTGGGAAGGGCAAAGAAGACCGCACACGGAGTACAGTCTAGGGGGCCAGAGACTACAAACCTCACTCAAGGAAAAAGATCTTGGGGTGAGTATAACACCAGGCACATCTGAGGCGCACATCAACCAAATAACTGCTGCAGCATATGGGCGCCTAACAAACCTAAGAACAGCATTCCGACATCTCAATAAGGAATCGTTCAGGACCCTGTACATTGTGTACGTTAGGCCCATATTGGAGTATGCGGCATCAGTTTGGAATCCACATTTAGCCAAGCACGTAAAGAAACTAGAGAAAGTGCGAAGGTTTGAAACAAGACTAGTCCCAGAGCTAAGGGGTATGTCTTACGAGGAGAGGTTAAGGGAAATCGACCTGACGACACTGGAGGACAGGAGAGATAGGGGGGACATGATAACGACATATAAAATACTGAGAGGAACTGACAAGGTGGACAGAGACAGAATGTTCCAGAAATGGGACACAGCAACAAGGGGACACAGTTGGAAATTGAAGACACAGATGAATCACAGGGATGTTAGGAAGTATTTCTTCAATCACAGAGTAGTCAGTAAGTGGAATAGTTTGGGAAGCGATTTAGTGGAGGCAGGATCCATACATAGCTTTAACGCAGAGGTATGATAAAGCTCACGGTTCAGGGAGAGTGACCCAATAGCGGCCAGTGAAGAGTCGGGGCCAGGAGCTATGAATCGACCCCTGCAACCACAACTAGGTGAGTACACACACACTCACATTAATTATTTATATTAAATTCTTGAATGTGTTCATTATCACTCATGTCTATTATTCCACATTTACTATATCGCTTTAGTTCCTCAAGGTTAAATTAAACAAACATCAACATTACAAAGAGTAATAAGGACAAAAAGAAAGACAACGGTACAAAAACTGGCGTCATATTGGGCGCCCCTTCATTGTTTCATAATGAATGACTGAACCTCACATCTGTTGCCTTACGCTATATGTGGTTACATAAAGACAGCTCCCAGCTTTTATATAAATACTCTACCACCGACGATAGAGAATCAGACTTGGACCTGAAGAGGAGGCTGTGGGACGCTGCTCTGAGTCCCTGCTGTTGTTGCTGCCTGTCGGTACATTGTTCTGCACCAGGAGCTGGTGGACACACACACACACAAAAGCTGCTGCCACTTCGGCAGCGCGAGCTGCACTGCACCATCATGAAGTCTTTAATTTTAACCGCTTTCGTCTTTTGTATTATTCTTGTGGTGCAGGTGAGGACCATCTTGATCACGATACCATAAGGTTTTCTTATTCTCTCACTCTGAACTAAACTTTTATTTCAAATTTGATATTCTTTCCTACAAATTCGCCATCAGCTGGTTCTTGACTGTTTTTATCAAAAGAACGATGACATCGAAGTGTAGAAGACGAGCAGTGTGGTGTACTCGTTTGGGCTCACTTGCCTAGCATGGACCAGTAGGCTTGCTGCAGTGCTCCTTCTTTATGTTCTTATCTAGGTTCTCCCCAGTATGCGACGCACAATTACTACCCGGTAAAAGCTAAAATAAGAGCTAGGAAACTTTCCTATACGTCCCACCTAGCCAAGAAATGAATGACTCGCGAAATCGCAATGACACGATTGCAAACCATACCACGGGTGGGGATTGAACTCGTGGCGAGTGAGTCGTAAAACTCCAAGCCAGGATTGAATCCTGGAAATAAGATATTACAGAAGTAGTACCAGTGACAGATTAGAAGAATTATTGTCTTTAAGATTTTCGTTTTTAACATGAGAACATTTGATCCACTCGTATTGAAATTTTCACAACCGAAGTTTGTTTTGATTCTGGGCTTCTAAGTTCCAACTTACCAACTTGTTTAGAAAAAACTGGAAAAACTGAAATATGGTTTTGCTGTTATAGTTTGTGTAAGCCTCATCAGAACTTTATTAACATTCACCGCTGTTAATTTGAGAATGCAACTTTTGAACGACTTCAGACTTAAAGTGTTGCGGTATATGGGGATATTAGTCATTGTATAATAAATAATGAATCTTACAATTCACCTTAACTTTCAAAAGTCAGTGTGTCTTACTAAGTCAAAGGTTAAATTTGGTTTTGTGCTGAGTTGGTATCACGTTGCCATTGTATACTGAAGAAACTAAGATATTAATTTCCATGTGATAGCTTGTGAATGTTTCTTCTCTTTGGCTTCCCATCTTCAATGTTGTTATTTGACTGCATTAGAAACTTACGTCGCATTTCTACAATCTTTTTTTTTTGGAGTATTGAGATAGAAGGTACCTTTCTAGGATCATCGAGGTAGATAAGGCTAGGTTTATTGGCTACAGATTTCCTTTCTTGAATCAAGCCGATACCAGAATACATCTAGTCTTGCTTACCATACCACGGGCAGGGCTGGAACCCGCGATCTGAGAGTCTCAAAACTCCAGACCGTCTTGCTTGTAAGCTGAACGCGCTACCACTGCGCTACGTGGTACTCAACCCAACATAAACTCAACATCCTCCACAGTTCACCTCAACAATAGAGGTAAACTGTGTTTCACATAGACACAAAGCAGTTTATATATATATATATATATACATATATATATATATATATATATATATATATTATATATATATATATATATATATATATATATATATATATATATATATATATATTATATATATATATATATATATATATATATATATATATATATATATATATATATATATATATATATATATATATATATATATATATATATATATATATATATATATATATAATGCAATAAGTTAACAGTAAACAGGTGAATTTAAAATATGCAAAACAACCACTGTGAAAGAGTAGTGAAATTCCAATCGCTTTCGTGACTACTCACATTGTCAAGGAACTATGAAAGTAATACATCAAAGGAAGGCAATTAAAGGGCTTAGACCACACCTCACAGTCAACTCCCACAACAAAGATACACCTGACGCGGGACAATACCGGACCCATAAGAGGAACTAACCATGTTAAAATCATTTAAGTCAGTCAAGGAGCTTAATTTATCAACTAAATCTAAGTTTTTTTAACATTGAAGTTAGAAATTTTACCAACAATAGGGCTCAAAATGTCAACAAGCCATTTGGATAATTATACGAAACTGATCCTATGGAGCTAATAATTGGTCTGATTGGATAACCAGGTAATCCAATCAGACCAATTATTAGCTCCATAGGATCAATTTCGTATAAATTATCCAAATGGCTTGTTGACATTTTGAGCCCTATTGTTGGAGCTCCTTGACTGACTTAAATGATTTTAACATGGTTAGTTTTGATGTTACTTCCTTGTTTACGAAAGTTCCTTTTGATGATTTATTAAGTTTCTTATCTGAAGAACTCGTTGAGTATGATTTACCATTACCAGTTCCTACCATCATTAAACTTATTAAACTTTGCATTGTTCATGCAAAATTTATATTTAATGATAAGCTTTACACTCAGAAATTTGGTATGGCAATGGGAAATCCTCTTTCACCTGTTCTTAGTAATCTATACATGGAGTTTTTTGAAACAAGATTGCTTAACACAATCCTCCCTAACAGAGCAAAATGGTTCAGATATGTCAATGATATTTTATGTCTTATGCCCAAGAATGTAGATATACACCATTTCCTTGGCAAATTAAATAGCTTAGCCCATTCTATAAACTTCACTGTTGAGTTTGAGGAAAATAACTCATTGCCTTTTCTAGATGTTTTAATTATTAAGAGTAATAATGAATTCAAATTTAAAATTTACAGAAAACCTACAAATAACTGTTCCTATGTCCACTATTATTCTTCCCATCAAGATAGAGTTAAACTGTCTGTTTTCTCATCAATGTTTTTGAGAGCTTTACGTATTTGTAGTCCAGAGTTCATAGATGAAGAAATATCCAAAATTTATGAAATAGCCAATGATCTGAAATACCCGAGAAATGTAATTGATAAATCTTTTAAAGTCGCTAGAAATACTTTTTACAACCCAAAAAAAAACAACCAACCTTATTCAACTAAAAATATGTTGGTTCTCCCTTACCATGAAAACTTGGTTGATATGCCTTCTCTTCTTAAGACTTTTAATATTAAAGTTGTATTTAAAAATCTTGATACAGTAAAAAAAACTTTTGATAAAGAATTCCCCCCAAAATGCTGACGGATGTGTCTATAAGATTCCTTGTAAAATTTGCGATAAAGTTTATTACGGTCAAACTGGTAAAAGTCTCGAACTTAGATTAAAACTAACATAAATATAGAAATATAGAACTGGACAAGATTCCAATGCTCTATTTATTCATGTAAGAGATTTTAACCATCCAATTGATTTTCAAAAAGTTGAGAAAGTAGTATCAAGCAAGTCCATGGTTGACAGAACTATAATTGAATCTTGTTTCATAAAAAGCAGTTTTGAAAATAATATGAATATTTCCTTAGGTTTGTATAAATTAGATTAGAGTTTAGTAATACATTGGACAAATAATAAACCTTATTTCTTGGGTAGAATAATTTGTTAGTGGGTTGTCTAGTTGGACCTTCTGCAGTGTTCCTCTTTTCTTATGAGTCCGGTATTGTCCCGCGTCAGGTGTTTCTTTGTTGTGGGAGTTGACTGTGAGGTGTGGTCTAAGCCCTTTAATTGCCTTCCTTTGATGTATTATATATATATATATATATATATATATATATATATATATATATATATATATATATATATATATATATATATATATATATATATATATATATATAAATGTATATATAAACTCTATTTTGCAGGAAAAAGTACATGGAGAACGAAATATAATAAACAGTGAAGATAGGACTGTTGTTGACCTACGCAAGAGGGACAGAGATGTTGACACCGACAGCCTTGGTGAGAAAGGTGACAGCAATAGCAGATTAATGAGCGTTGGAAAAGTCCACCCGAGCATCAGTGGTGTTAATGGTGGTCACGACAAAGATGTAAAAGGAGGAAGAAGACGTCAGCAAGATAAGAAAGACGCAAAGCGTCGTCGTAACGACAAAAATTCTGGTCAGGGAGAAGCAGCTGGCAAGCGACGTGTTGACAATAAAGAGGAAAGGCCTCGGAGCCGGAAATAAAAGAGGGATAAAAGATCCTCTTGCTAAGAACAGCGTGAAACATAAGGGTAGAATGAATGACCACTCCAAGAAAAGCCATGAGGATAAACGTGGTGTCAGGAAGGGAGGCAAGAAGGGAGGAAAAGGCCAAGTCGGTAAGAATGGGGAAAAACGCCGTGTCAAGAAGGGAGAAAAAGGCCAAGTCGGTAAGAATGGGAAAAAACGCCGTGTCAAGAAGGGAGGAAAAGGCCAAGTCGGTAAGAATGGGGAAAAACGCCGTGTCAAGAAGGGAGGAAAAGGCCAAGTCGGTAAGAAATGGGGAAAATAAAAAACGCCGTGTCAAGAAGGGAGGAAAGGGCCAAGTCGGTAAGAATGGGGAAAAACGCCGTGTCAAGAAGGGAGGAAAGGGCCAAGTCGGTAAAAATGGGGAGAAACGTCGTGGTGAAAAAGGCATAAAGTATGGTGCCGTCAAGAAAGAAGGCAGACTCCAAGAAGGTGCACATCGAAGAAAGGAGAAGAAAGATCGCCGCGTCAAGAAAGTGAAAGGAGGTAAGAAGGGGAAGAACATGAAACAGAAAAAAAACAAGAAGCATAAGAATGGTGGCTCTCAAAAGGTCAAAGCCACCAAGACTAAGAAATTAAAATCAAAAAAATATCGAGGCAAGACAGCGATGAAGAAAGGTAAAAAAAATCATAAGAAAACAAGAAAAGAAAACAAGGAGAAGAAAGAGAAAGGTGATAAAAGAAAAAAGAAACTTAACAAAAAAGACCTCAAAAATAAGAACGATCGCAAAAAGGACAAAAATATGAGAAACAAAAACAATGGAAAGGCGAAAAAACACGGGGGAAAGAAATTAAAAAAACTCAAAAGTACCAATACAAAGAAAAACAAAGACAAGAAAGGAAACAAAAAGAATAAAAAGGAAAAGAAGAAGAAAACAGAGCTAGATAGGAAACCTGGTAAAGGAATAAGGGAGAAAGTGGCTCAGAAGAAAGAAAAAGAACAGGGAAAAGAAGAACGATATTCCTCCTCCGGGAAAAGCAAAGAACGACCTTACAGGAAAAAGTGTAAAGCTACCAAAAAGTGCACTAAAGCCGGGGGAAAGTGCCAGCCCAAAGGCAAGTGCAAGACCAAAGTTGCCGCGAGCAAGTGCAAAGGAAGGTCGTGTGAGTGCTGCCTCTCAGGTAAGTGTCACCTTAATGTTAATTCCTATGAGATTATTGTTATCTAATATTGACAGCCACTGATTTCTCTCTCCCCCATTCCTCAGGCTTCCCTCTCTCTCTTCCGATCATTCCCCCCATTCTCTCGCTCTCTCGCGCTCTCTCGCGCTCTCTCTCACTCTCTCTCTCTCCTCTCTCGTCTCTCTCTCTCTCTCTCTCTCTCTCGCTCTCTCTCTCTCTCTCTCTCTCTCTCTCTCTCACTCTCTTCCCCCACCACCTTCACATTTCGAGGGGTAACTGTGTTGTGCTTTAAATAAATATGAAAATAAATACACTGGCTTCTATTCAGGCGCAACTTTGACAATTGATTGTAACAGATTCTTGACCTTAGCTAGAGATTAGGTTAAATAAGGTTTGTCAGGAAACATTACAAGTGTTTCCTGGCTGGAGCTTTTGGTCTTGTGACCGAGGCCTTCCGCTGGCTTACCTGTCCACCATTTTAAAAATAAGCTAAAACAATATTTATTGTTAAGTTATCGTTCCTTTCTGATTTTTTTTTTTTTTGGTCCTTGTTATTGCTAGCCACTTGTGAATATTACAGAAGGAAGTGTGATTGTCCCGTATTTACTAGATTATTGACCTATATTTGTATTACGTTCAGGGACTCACAGTTGAAAACGGGTTGTTGATGTTTATTGAGTTTAGTGTTTTCCAGGGAAATTCTTGTAATATCTGTTTGCCTATTGCAAGCCTACACACATGTAGGCGGGCATTAGTTGGTACTTGATAGCACACGTGTGGCTGTTGTTAGTAGGTACCCACAGTTAGGTAGGCAATAAATATTGGAACCTGAACGTTTGGTTTAAAGTACTAAACTGCGCATATCACAATCACTTATTTTCAAACACTTAAAAATAAGCTCCAGTACTTATATATCTGTTTATATAACAACTTGTAGTGTATAAATGTGTGTGTTTGCCTGTACTTTTAGGGTTCGGGCGGGAGTCCACAGGTAAGTAAGTTTATTCAGGTATACACAAATACAGTTACATAGATTATCATACATAGCAGCATATGTGTAGAGAACCTGGGATAACCCAAAAAAGTCAGAGTGACTCATTTCCATTGGGGGCGGGGGCGTTGACCCCCGGAACTCTCTCCAGGTAAACTCCAGGTAAACTCATATTCCTATCACCTGATTTTATGTATACATATCCCCTTCAGCTGTTGAATTTACATTTGAATTCATGGAAGGACTCTGTCTCCACAACCTGCTATAGTTAGTTCTACTTGTTATTATATTTCTTCTTATTTTGGATGTCTCATTCTGACTTTCAGTTTCCAGTTGTGTCCCATCGATCTGATTCCCACCCATCTTCACCCCGTCGATATCTCTTAGTTTCCTGCAAGTTGTGATTAAGTATTATCTGTGAAACTGAGTTCTTTATGACTCACGAAATCGTAATGACACGATGTCTGTTCTCATAGTCTGACTTTAGTCTCTTGTCAGTTCTCGGTACCTTCTTGAATTTCTGGATGTCTGTCGTCTACTCTGTCTTCCTTACTCGACCATCGGTTTCACACAAGTGGTACACATCTTGAGTAAATATATATTTTTTAAGATGTGCACGTTAATGAGTTGTTTACAATCATCATTTTTCATCAACAGCTTGCGCATTTAAGCCTAAAAAGAAATGCACTAAATACAAGGGCTTGTGCAAGACAAAGTGCGACGTGAAGGAGCAACTGATTGCCAAGGGTTGCATGAAGAAGAAGTGTGTGTGTTGTGCCAAGCCTTGCAAGCCCACGACAGTGTGCACCTCTCTAGGAGGTTACTGTGTGCAGAGCAAGAAGTCCTGTGTTGGTTTGGTCGACAAAGATGAATGCAAGGGAGCCAAATGCTTCTGTTGTTATCCAAGTAAGTCTATCATTACTATTTTATTTTTAATATAATGGTGTAGGTAGAAATAAAAACACGTGTGTAATACTTAGGGCATCTAATTAGGAAACATTTCACCTACTTGGTGATTTAGCTGTCCAATTTCACATCATGAGTGTGTGGTGGAAAGAAGTCAGGTGAATTTGGTGAAGTCAAGAGCAGATGTTTAGGAGTTGGCTTGAGTCAGTTGTTAATATAGCATGTGGTGGAGAAGAGTCAGTTACTAATATAGCATGTGGTGGGGTGGAATCGGTTGCTAGCATAGCATGTGGTGGGGTAGAATCGGTTGCTAGTATAGCATGTTGTGGGGTAGAGACAGTTGCTAGTATAGCATGTGGTGGGGTAGAATCAGTTGCTAGTATAGCATGTGGAGTAGAATCAGTTGCTAGTATAGCATGTGGTGGGGTGGAATCATTTGCTAGTATAACATGTGGTGAGGGTAGAATCAGTTGCTAGTATAGCATGTGGTGGGGGTAGAATCAGTTGCTAGTATAGCATGTGGTGGGGGTAGAATCAGTTGCTAGTATAGCATGTGGTGGGGTAGAATCATTTGCTAGTATAACATGTGTTGGGGGTAGAATCAGTTGCTAGTATATTATTATTATAATCAAAAAGAAGCGCTAAGCCAAGTTGCTAGTATAGCATGTGGTGGGGTAGAATCAGTTGCTAGTATAGCATGTGGTGGGGGTAGAATCAGTTGCTAGTATAGCATGTGGTGGGGGTAGAATCAGTTGCTAGTATAGCATGTGGTGGGGTAGAATCATTTGCTAGTATAACATGTGTTGGGGGTAGAATCAATTGCTAGTATAGCATGTGGTGGGGGTAGAATCAGTTGCTAGTATAGCATGTGGTGGGGGTAGAATCAGTTGCTAGTATAGCATGTGGTGGGGTAGAATCATTTGCTAGTATAACATGTGGTGAGAGGGTAGAATCAGTTGCTAGTATAGCATGTGGTGGGGGTAGAATCAGTTGCTAGTATAGCATGTGGTGGGGTAGAATCATTTGCTAGTATAGCATGTGGTGGTGGTAGAATCAGTTGCTAGTATAGCATGTGGTGGGGTAGAATCATTTGCTAGTATAACATGTGGTGGGGGTAGAATCAGTTGCTAGTATAGCATGTGGTGGGGTAGAATCATTTGCTAGTATAACATGTGGTGGGGGTAGAATCAGTTGCTAGTATAGCATGTGGTGGGGTAGAATCAGTTGCTAGTATAGCATGTGGTGGGGGTAGAATCAGTCGCTAGTATAGCATGTGGTGGGGTAGAATCATTTGCTAGTATAACATGTGGTGGGGGTAGAATCAGTTGCTAGTATAGCATGTGGTGGGGGTAGAATCAGTTGCTAGTATGGCATGTGGTGGGGTAGAATCAGTTGCTAGTATAGCATGTGGTGGGGGTAGAATCAGTTGCTAGTATAGCATGTGGTGGGGGTAGAATCAGTTGCTAGTATAGCATGTGGTGGGGGTAGAATCAGTTGCTAGTATAGCATGTGGTGGGTAGAATCATTTGCTAGTATAACATGTGGTGGGGGTAGAATCAGTTGCTAGTATAGCATGTGGTGGGGGTAGAATCAGTTGCTAGTATAGCATGTGGTGGGGTAGAATCAGTTGCTAGTATAGCATGTGGTGGGGTAGAATCATTTGCTAGTATAACATGTGGTGGGGGTAGAATCAGTTGCTAGTATAGCATGTGGTGGGGGTAGAATCAGTTGCTAGTATGGCATGTTGTGGGGTAGAATCAGTTGCTAGTATAGCATGTGGTGGGGGTAGAATCAGTTGCTAGTATAGCATGTGGTGGGGGTAGAATCAGTTGCTAGTATAGCATGTGGTGGGGGTAGAATCAGTTGCTAGTATAGCATGTGGTGGGGTAGAATCATTTGCTAGTATAACATGTGGTGGGGTAGAATCAGTATAGAATATACCCCACCACATGCAAGTATAGCATGTGGTGGGGTAGAATCATTTGCTAGTATAACATGTGGTGGGGGTAGAATCAGTTGCTAGTATAGCATGTGTGGGGTAGAATCATTTGCTAGTATAACATGTGGTGGGGTAGAATCAGTTGCTAGTATAGCATGTGGTGGGGTAGAATCATTTGCTAGTATAACATGTGGTGGGGTAGAATCAGTTGCTAGTATAGCATGTGGTGGGGGTAGAATCAGTTGCTAGTATAGCATGTGGTGGGGTAGAATCAGTTGCTAGTATAGCATGTGGTGGGGTAGAATCATTGCTAGTATAACATGTGGTGGGGTAGAATCAGTATAGATTATACCACACATGAAAGTATAGCATGTGGTGGGGGTAGAATCATTTGCTAGTATAACATGTGGTGGGGGTAGAATCAGTTGCTAGTATAGCATGTCGTGGGGCTAGAATCAGTTGCTAGTATGGCATGTGGTGGGGTAGACTCAGTTGCTAGTATAGCATGTGTGGGGTAGAATCAGTTGCTAGTATAGCGTGTCGTGGGGGCTAGAATCAGTTGCTAGTATGGCATGTGGTGGGGGTAGAATCAGTTGCTAGTATAGCATGTCGTGGGGCTAGAATCAGTTGCTAGTATGGCATTGTGTGGGGTAAATCAGTTGCTATGATAGCATGTCCGTGGGGCTAGAATCATTGCTAGTATGGCATGTGGGGGGTGAATCGTTGCTAGTATAGCATTGGTGGGGTGAATCAGTTGCTAGTATAGCATGTGGTGGGGCTAGAATCAGTTGCTAGTATAACATGTGGTGGGGGTAGAATCAGTTGCTAGTATAGCATGTCGTGGGGCTAGAATCAGTTGCTAGTATGGCATGTGGTGGGGGTAGAATCAGTTGCTAGTATAGCATGTGGTGGGGGTAGAATCAGTTGCTAGTATAGCATGTGGTGGGGTGGAATCACTTTAGTAACGACACTTGATATGTTAATATTCCCGACTGACTGAGCCACAGATGTCCCTGGTGTGTCTCTGATGGTCTATATGCGCGCTCATATTTACATCATACCACTGGGTATTTCGAAAAGAAAGGCCCAATTTCAAAGAAGTATTCTTTGAAATTGGGTCCGTGTATCATAGTAGTTATCCCAGTAATTTATGCAGTAACATTGATATACAGTTTGCTGGTGCGCACAAGTAAATAAATATGAATACAAACAGTATTCCAAAAGTCTAGGATGTAAATTTCGTTGAATGTAGGTTGACATACTGGAGTTGGTAACTAGTGTCATCCTTAAAACTGCCAATATGGAGTGTTGGCACAAGTGCCAACGATGCGGCACTCCCTGGGAACATATATAAACGTAAAATTTAATAATGGTCTTTCTCGTGCAGACGCTACAACAGAAACAATAGCACTAGTGTGAATTAACTAATAATATTTACAAATGTATAAAGTAATTTACTAAAGAACGCGCGTAGAATTAGATCTGGCCAGAATTTATATGCTTTTTTCTTTTTTTTTTTTAGATGTTTCTCTATATTGCATAGCTGTAGTGCTCTCTGAAAAGAGAGATCGGTTACATAACAAACTAACCAGGCTATCTTTAAGATAGTAGGCAAATTGTAAGATAGTAGGCAAAATTTAACATGGGCAAATTTTTAACGCTGCACCAAATAATCTCGGCTACCTACACTTGCCAAAAAATTAATATATGTAGCTTACACCTACCCAAACTAACCAAAACAAGTCTATATCTAGCTAAAATTAATTTAGGAATGACTGAGATTTATTCTTATGTCCTGTTGCAGCTTAGTTAATAATATCGAATACTTAATTCCAGCAACCACTACCACGAATTCTACAGTAACTACCACGACATTCAACACGACAGCCACATCTACCACTACAAGAACGACAGTATTCAACACGACAATCCAAGCGTCCAATACAACCCTGCAGTCTACCACGACAATCTCACTGTCTAACACAACAGCATCCAACACGACAACCGTACCTTTCCAATACGACAACAATAACATCCAACACGACAACCGTACCTTCCAATACGACAACAATAACATCCAACACGACAACCGTACCTTCCAATACGACAACAATAACATCCAACACGACAACCGTAACTTCCAATACAACAACATAACTTCCAACACGACACTCTCATCGTCTAACACAACAACATCAACGTCCAACACAACAACCGCAGCTGCCAATACAACTGTAGCATCCAATACAACAACTACAGTTTCCAATGCTACAACAACAACAACCAACGTGACAACTGCTTCAGTTACTACAACCACCAATGCTACACTGGCTAACCTCACTGCGCAGCTCAACCAACTACTCTCCGCCATAAATTCGACAAATCAAGCAATTTCGGCTCTTCAAGCCCTTCAATCTCTACTTCAGACTCTTGCGGCTCAAATTAATGCTTCAATTGGTGGTGGAAGGAAGAAACGCGATGCTCCACAAGATATCCTAGATATTTTATCTCTTACCGAAGAAATGTCAATCGCAGGATCACAAGGCAATGATAGCGGTGTGGCACTGTTGATACCCGTGGTATACGCGAAGGAGACCATTGTGATCCAAACAATACAAAATATTGCCAATGGGAATTACGTGAACTCTTACGCCCTGCAGTTGGCCGTAGTAACAGCTTATTCGAATGTCGTAACTTGCATCACCATCTTGGGAGGAAGGAGAAGTCAACTAACTACTGCTATAGCCTACGTACAGTCCTGGATGAACCAGTTGGGAGCGACCACAGTCACTGTACCCACCGTTCCTGTCATTATACCCTCCTTCACTACTAACACACCTACCCAGACAACTACAACGCCCAATGCAACTGTATCGTCAAACACGACAACAACGCTCAATGCAACTGTATCGTCAAACACGACAACTACTCCACCATCCACGACCACCAATGCAACACTGGCTAGTCTCACTGCTCAGCTCAACCAATTACTCTCTTCCATAAATTCAACAAATCAAGCAATTGCGAGTCTTCAAACCCTTCAATCACTACTTACTGCTTTTGCTTCTGCAATTAATGCTTCAATAAATGGTGGTCGAAGGAGGAGACGTGATGCATCAGCAGATATTCAGGGAATTATACAAATCGCATCAAACATGGAGATCGCGATGGCAGTAGGAAACGACTCAGGTGTAAATATTCTGACTGCCCAAGTCCTCGTGATGCAAGGCAGTGTGATCTCATATATACAAATGTTATCCATTGGAGCTTTCCAACCCAGCTCCAGCCTTCTAACAGAAGTGCAGATAGCCATTTACGGCTTAGGTTCCTGCATAGGTGTTGCAGGAGCGAGGAGAACTAAGCTGGTGAGTGATATCAATATCATACAGCTACAACTGAGCCAACAAGGGTTAACCACAGCAACTGTGCCCACTGTCCCTTCTTTAGTTACACCCTCCTTCACTACTGGTACGCGTCCTACGACAAGTACAACATCTAATGTAACTTCGCCTTCAAGCACAACAGCTGGTGCACAAAATGCAACCACCAATGCAACAATAGGTAGTCTCACAACACAGCTCAACCAACTGCTCACCTCCATAAATTCAACAAATCAAGCGATTGCGGCTCTACAGTCCATTCAAGTTACACTTAATAATCTTGCAGGGGTAGTTAATGCCTCACTTAATGGTAGAAGGAGGAAGCGTGATACCACAGCATATGTCCAGACGATTATACAAGTTGTCATCAGCTTGCAGACCGCGATAGGAGCAGGTAACGACTCTGGCATAATTATTCTAGTCGTCCAGCTCAACTACTGGCAAACCCAAGTGAGAACAGATACACAACTGATAGCCAGTGGACAACTTCAACCCTCTTCAGGCCTTTTAGCAGCTGTGCAGGCATCAACTTATAACATAGGACCTTGCTTGTCCGCTGCGCAAGGGAGACGAGCTCAGCAGACTAATAGTATTAACAATATACAAGCACAACTTCAAGAGCAAGGGATATCCACAGTCACGGTGCCCACCGTCCCACCTGTGGTTGTAACAACTATCCCAACTGTCATTGTAAGTGTAACCCCTAGTGGAATGACGCCTGCAGGAACATCAGCACCGCCAGCTTCATCAGCACCGCCAGGTTCTACAGCACCACCAGGTTCAACAGCACCACCAGGTTCAACAGCACCACCAGGTTCAACAGCACCACCAGGTTCAACAGCACCACCAGGTTCAACAGCACCGCCAGGTTCAACAGCACTGCCAGGTTCAACAGCACCACCAGGTTCAACAGCACCACCAGGTTCAACAGCACCGCCAGGTTCAACAGCACCGCCAGGTTCAACAACACCGCCAGGTTCAACAACACCGCCAGGTTCAACAACACCGCCAGGTTCAACAACACCGCCAGTTTCAACAGCACCGCCAGGTTCAACAACACCGCCAGGTTCAACAACACCGACAGGTTCAACAACACCGACAGGTTCAACAACACCGACAGGTTCAACAACACCGACAGGTTCAACAACACCGACAGGTTCAACAACAACGACAGGTTCAACAACACCGACAGGTTCAACAACACCGACAGGTTCAACAACACCGACAGGTTCAACAACACCGACAGGTTCAACAGCAACATCTTCAAATTCAACAATAACTGTCTTATCATCATCAACGATCAACGGGACGTCAACAAACTCGACAGGAAGGTAATACATGCACAACAACAACAACAACAACAACAACAACAACAACAACAACAACAACAACAACAACAACAACAGCCACTGGTATTAAAACTAGCCAGAAGACCACCACTGTAAATACATCCTGACGTATACCCACTTTGCCCACAACAACGTATCAAACACCCACTGCAACACCCACCGTAAACACTACCAGATCTGGGTATAAACTACCCACTAGACGAACACAGTGCCCACTACAATGTCTGGCATTCAAATGGGGATACCCAGTGTAACTTCTACCAGATCTGGGTATTCAAGAATGCCCACCATAGCCGCTGTTACCTTCTGTAATCTCGTCGAAGGTTTAACAAAAGTCTATGGTAACTTAATACATTATTACATAGATAATGCAATAACAACGTCAAGATCAGATCAACAACAGTTGAATCACATGGTCAACAACAGCAACAACAACAAAAACACTTCATGTTCAATACATGGAACCCTCGGCATAAAAAAAGTAAAAAAAAAAAAAAAGAAATCTCTTGTCAATATATGATTCAATGTATAAATAAATTATATGTTTACAAATTCTGTAATCAGATGGAAAATCGACATTTCAATCAAATATCCTCCAAAACATTATTATTATTATTATTATTATTATTATTATTATTATTATTATTATTATCTAATAAAGTATGCTTAAGAAAATGTTGATACAGTTTTCTTGTATATCAGTGATAAAATATGATTAATATATTATGCACGATTTTTCCTTGATATTTTTAGCAAATTACATTTAAATATTTTATATATTGCCCCTTAATTGATAGTAATTTATGAAAGTATTTATATTAATATATTAATGTTCTTAAATATACAGTATATAATATATATATATATATATATATTATATAATATATATATATATATATATATAATATATATATATTTATATAAAATATATATAATATATATATATTATGTCGTGCCGAATAGGCAGAACTTGCGATCTTGGCTTAAATAACAACGTCATCTTGCCATATAGGACAAGTGAAATTTGTGTATGCAATAATATCGCCAAAATCATTCTGAACCTAACAAAAAAATATATTTCACTGTGTTTGTTTAGTATTAAATTATTGTAAACAAATCTAAAATATATTTAGTTGGGTTAGGTTAAATAAATTGTGCTTGTTATAATAAGGTTAGGTAAGTTTTCTAAGATACTTTCTGGTGCAAATTTAAAAAAAATTACATTAAATTAATGAAAAATATATCTTTAAACGTATAAGAGAAAATTTCAGAAGGACTTAATTTTAAATAAGTTTTTTTGCATTTTTACATATTCGGCACGACATATTACAATATAATAATTATATATATTATATATATTATATATATATATATATATATATTATATATATTTTATTTAGAGTTAATTTACAATTTTTTATGTACATAAGTGTTGCACTGACATTAAAAAAATATTTAGAAATCAAATGCACTAAAAAGGTTTTACTTATCCCTATGTGTGTATAAAATTTTCTATTGATTTGACATCCCCTCAGTCCTGGCTTTCATTTATGCCATTTAACATATAGACATAAATTGCAGAACACTGCTAAAACCACTGCCCACCTAGACACCTTCTCAAAATCAGTGATTATTAATAAGGTAAGTAATTTTATCTCATCTTTTAATGGAAAGATCTTTATTCAAGGAATTGATGCCCTTCATTCTTTTATCTGTTGAAATCCGGCAGCAGTTTGCACGACTGTACGGGTCAGTGCATTTCATTTCAAGACTTAGACTTTGCCTTACGTACTCACTGACACAGAATGATGTCTTAACAAGTGAATACATATTGACATCTATTGTCCTCTGAAACACTAAAACTTTTACTAGATAAAATTACTAAAAAACTTCCCTTTATAGATGAGTTTTAACGGTGTCATTTATATGTGAATGTACTGTAAAATCACGTTCTTTTACATCGACTAAAAATAGCAACTTTAGATAATGTTTACATTTTTTGTGAGTTACAACAATAAGATCACTTATACAGACCATAGCTGACATCTATGACATACACTAAAAACAAATTAGGTCATTTGGGCCCCACCATACGCCCACATCTGTCGGGCTAACACCCGGTACTATTTTACTGATAAGTAACATGGACAACAGGTGTCTTATGGAAACACGTCCTAATGATCCATCCGTACCGGGATCGAACACAGCCCTCATATATAATAATATAATATATATATATATATATATATATATATATATATATATATATATATATATATATATATATATATATATATATATATATATATATATATATATATATATATTAGCACGTCGGCCGTCTCCCACCGGGGCAGGGTGACCCAAAAAGAAAGAAAAACCCCAAAATAAAGAAAAAACTTTTATTCTCATTCAACACTTTCACCATCACTCATACATAATCACTGTCTTTGCAGAGGTGCTCAGATACGACAGTTTAGACGTCCCTCCAAACTGTCAATATTCCAGACCTCTCCTTTAAATTGCAAACATTATACTTCCCATTTCCAGGACTCAAGTCCGGCGAAAAAGTTTCCCTGAATCCCTTCACAAAATATTACCCTGCTCACACTCCAACAGCTCGTCAGGTCCCAAAAAACATTCGTCTCCAATCCCATCTAAAACGCTCATGCACGCTTGCTGGAAGTCCAAGCCCCTCGTCCATAAAACCTCCTTTACCCCCCTCCCTCCAACCTTTTCTAGGACAACCCCTACCCCGCCTTCCTTTCCCTACAGATTTATATGCTCTCAAAGTCATTCTACTTTGATCCATTCTCTCTAAATGACCAAACCACCTCAACAACCCCTCTTCAGCCCTCTGACTAATGCTTTTATTAACTCCACACCTTCTCCTAATTTCCACACTACAAATTTTCTGCATAATATTCACACCACACATTGCCCTTAGACAGGACATCTCACTGCCTCCAACCGCCTCCTCGTTGCAGCATTTTCAACCCAAGTCCCTCACCCATATAAGAGTGTTGGTACCACTATACTTTCATACATTCCTTTCTTTGCCTCCACGGATAACGTTTTTTATCTCCACATGTACCTCAACGCACCTCTCATCTTTTTTCCTTCATCACTTCTATGGTTAACCTCATCCTTCATAAACCCATCTGCTGACAAGTCAACTTCCAAATATCTGAAAACATTCACTTCTTCCATACTCCTCCTCCCCAATGTGATATTCAATTTTTCTTTATCTAAATCGTTTGATACCCTCATCACCTTACTCTTATCTATGTTCACTCCCTCGTAAACTCGTATACTAACCTTTGTAATTTTTCTTTAGAATCCCCCACAAGCACAGTATCATCAGCAAAAAGTAACTGTGTCAACTCCCATTCTGTATATGATTCCCCATAATTTAATCCCACCCCTCTCCCCAACACTCTAGCATTTACTTCTTTTACAACCCCATATATATATATATATATATATATATATATATATATATATATATATATATAATATATATATATATATATATATATATATATAATAAAAATACAGAAAATAAATTGGATATAGTATCAACACGATTCCTATAATAGTATCTTTATCTCAGGATACAAACTTTAGAGGATACCAGGAATGGTATCTTCGTCTTAGGATACACAATCTAAAGGATACTAGCTCTGGCAGGTTGGTGACTGCTTCACGGGTCACAGCTGATTAAAATCCGCGTCGGGAGAGACGGATTTTTGTGTCGACAAAAACAGCACCAAAACTAATGAAATAACGACAGTTACACCATATGTATACTTATGAGTGTTCTCTCCCCAACATCTGCTGATCTACACTGGTAGACAAATTAATGCAGTCCTCGTTTCTCGTGTATTATATTCATTATAATCATGGAAAGCGCTGATCCGACTGGTACATAAAAGCAAGACACTAGGCTGAGCATCAGATTAGCTTCGTTGTAGAGTTGAAGAGGAGGTTGTGGGACGCAGCCCTGACTTACTACTGTGCCGTTGTTCGTCGGTGTACAACGCTGCAGGAGGCGCTGCTGGAGACCCACAATATCTGCTGCCACTTCTGCGGCACCAGCATGAAGTCTTTAGTTTTAGCTGCTTTTGTCTCTTGTCTTTTTCTGCTGACGCAGGTAAGGACGATCCCATGAACGATATCATACGTTTTTTTTTTTTTAATTTATTTTACCACTTACCCAGGTTATTGTAAAATAAATCACTATGCCGTGGTCGGAGCGGCTCACATCTAACCCACAAATTAAAGATTTATTTTTAGATGAGGTTCAGTCTTCGACCATCATCAAGTTAAAACATATAAAAAAAAAATAGACAGAATTTAGAGCAGATAAAAAAAATAGGAGAATCGTGGAGAGATAAGGTGATGGAATAGCATGTCACATGAAAATCATCAATGAAGAATAATTTAATATGTAAAATAGGTACCGATATATATATATATATATATATATATAATATATATATATATATATATATATTATATATACACTTCTCGGTATGTATAATCAGTGAATGCGGTCGTATTATTATTTATTATTAAAGATTCGCCGGTATTCTACCGGCCCGGGCCTTTTCCAAGTGGTGGCCCGGCCTTGTCTCCCTGTCTTGCGAGTGTCTGAGACCTAAGTCTCCCATGGGAGGAGGCACAAGTACCCCCTCATCTTTGGGACCAACTGTCCCCAGGCCTAGCCACAAGCTAGACCTCTCTGGTCTGCCATCCCCGCCATTCCCAATGGGAATGACAGTCTTGTGAGCTGAAAGCTCCGGCTCAGGCACCTACCCTACCCTACAAGGGCTGGGCATGGTGTCGATGACTGCGCGGTCGTAGATTGTAGGAAATTCCTAATTTTACCAATTTATTCCAAAAATAAATTGGTAAATGTATTAATGTTGCTATTATTAATTTTACGGAGTGAAAATCCACACAAGAAAACATGTTATCTAAATTCACAAAAATATATGTGATATTTGAAACTCCGTAAATTAATTATTATTTAATTCATTTCATGAATTTTTTTTTTATTTTATCTTGTAGGAAAAAGTACATGGAGAGAAAAATCTATTAAGTGGTCAAGAAAAAGCAGATGTAAGTCTACGCAAGAGGAGAGACGCAAACCCTGACAATAATAGTCAAGAAGGTAGCAGCGAAGGCAGAGGACAAGGCGTTGGAGAATTTCATCAGAGCATCAGTGATGCTGATGACGGTCACAGTAATGTTGTGGAAGGAGGTCGCCAAGTGAGCAACTATGAAAAGCGTCGTCGTACCAATAATAACGAAGATCCTGGTCGTGTCAGGAGAGAAGAAAAGCTTCGTCGTTCCAAGAATAACGAAGATCCTCGTCGTGTCAAGAGAAAAGAAAAACTTCGTCGTTCCAAGAATAACGAAGATCCTCGTCATGTCAAGAGAAAAGAAAAGCTTCGTCGTACCAAGAGTAACAAAGGCCATGGTCGTGTCCGGAACGGAAAAAAACATGGAGCCGACTTAAAGAGGAGAGACATGCATGCCACAAATGACGAAACGAACAGGAAAGATTCCCTCACTAAGAATGGCGAGGAGAAACTTCCAGGTAGCAAAAGAAACCTTTCCCAAGAGAGCAAGAAACTGAAACATCACGTCAAGAATGGGGAAAAGCATCACCTCGGTAAGAAAGTGAATAAACGACGTAGACAAAAGAATGGAGAAGGACGCATTGCGATGAGCGGAGAGGGACGCCAGAACACAAAGAAACATAAACTTCAAAATGATAAACATCGGGGAAAAAAGAAGACGGACAACAGCGTTAAGAAAATGGGAATTGGTCGAACTGCTGAGAAGCTCAATAAGGTAAAGAAAATCACTGCTGAGAGGAGGAATAGTGCCAGGAACAAACAGGTTAAGAAATCACGAAAACAGATGAAAAAATCGCAGAAGAAGCGGAAGAAAAGCAAGCAGCAACATGCAAAAATAACTAAATCAGAGAAAGCAAAATCAGGAAACCTTAAGAACAAGGGAAAATCAACGAAAGCTAGAAGGAATCAAAAGAAAGACAGCAGAAAAAAAAAAGACGCAAAAAGCGCAATAAAAGAGAAAAAATCGGAAGAAAGATCCCCAAGAACTTAAAAATAAAAAAATAGAACAAATCTAAAGGGGGAAAACACAGGGGGAAAAGAAGTAAAAAAAAACGGGGGGAAGAAATTAAAAAGCATAAAAGTACAAAGTACACAAAAATAAAGCAAACAAAGAAAGGGAAAGGGTAAAGACAAGAGAAAAAATCAAAGAATAGGCAAAAACCCAATCAGACGCTTGTAACAGAAAAGCAAAAAAACAGGGAGAAAAATTTTAAAGAAACAAAAAAGTCCCAAAACAAAGAAAAAAAAGACAAAAAGGGGCCCAAAAAGAGTGAAAATGAAAAGAATAAGAAAACAGAGTTAGACCGGAAACCTGGTAAAGGAGTAATAGAGAAAGTGGTTCAGAAGAAAGAGAAAGAACAGAGAAAACAAGACAGATATTCATCGGGTGGGAAAAGCAATGAACACTTCCACAAGAAAAAGTGTAAAGCTACCAAAAAGTGTACTAAAGCCGGGGGAAAGTGCCAGCCGAAAGGCAAGTGCAAGACCAAAGTTGCCGCGAGCAAGTGCAAGGGAAGATCGTGCGAGTGCTGCCTCTCAGGTAAGTTGATCTGTGTATTTCCCCCTGTCTCTGAGTGATCTCTTATAAGTGCCTCTGTTTAGGCCCGGTAGTTCCCTCTGAGGGGCCCGCCCGGGGGAAATGTCTAATAGGGGGTCTGTAAGTACCTTGAGTAATTGTGTCATGTTCTCCCCTCTGAGAGGTCTTGTTAAGGTACCTCTAAGTCCTTTTTTAGCTAAGTGCCCCCAAATAGTCCTCTGTAAATCCCCGAAGTGCTGGGTCTTGAATTTTTTCCCTTGTGTATATAGTAGTAGTATTAGTTAGTATAAGTATAGTAGTGGGTAGTAGTATAGTGTAGTACAGTAGTAGTGTATTCTCTTTGTTGAGTGTTTCATTTTTTGGTTTGCGGCAATTTTCACCCACGACATCTTTCTTAATATTTGTGTTCCTGTGTTAGGGGTTTTTTAACATAATTTTTTTTTATAAACAGCTTGTGCATTTAACCTAAAAAAAAATGCACTAAATACAAGGGCGTGTCAAGACAAATTTGGACCGTGAAGGGAGCAACTAAAATTGCCAAGGGGTTCATAAGAAAAGTGTGTTGTTGTCCCAAAACCTTTGCAAGCCCCGACATTTGCCCTCCTGGAGGTTACTGTTTCAGGAAAGAAGTCCTTGTTTTTTTGGGTCGACAAGGTGAATGCAAGGGACCCAAAATGTTTGTTTTATCCAAGAAAGTCTTATATTACTATTTCTTTGCGAATGCTGTGTATGTGTGAGTGTATACAAAAGCATAAGGCTGTGGTGAATAGCATAAAAATAACGCTATTATCCGGAAAAATTTCACACAGAAATTGGTTCATGCCTTCTCTCTCTCTTTTCTCCTCTCTAATTTAAGGGGGACAATATACACTACATTCGTATATAAGGATTAATAAGGATTTTATTTAGAAAAACGCACTACAAATTCCAGAAATGTTTTGTTTTTATTTGTAAAAAAAAAAAAATATTTGTGGTTTACTTATCTAAAAAAGGGCAAATATTCAGAGTTAACGTTACTGATACCTCTTTTCTACACCCCACGCTACAACGTCTACCATACCCCGTTTGTTTTACTTTTCCATCATCCATACAACTACAACACCGAACAACTACTACAAATTCTTCTATCAACACAACCTTACAAATAAACAACTAATAAAACGCAAACATCAACGCTAATACAACTGCTACAACACAAAAACAAATACAACTCTACAACATTAACAACTAATACAACGCTAAACATTAACAACTAATACAAGCTACAAAATCAACAACTAATAAAAACTGCTACAACTAAACAACTAATACAACCGCTAAACATCAACAACTAATACAACGCAACAACATCAAAAAACTAAAAACTCTTCAACACAAAAACAAATAAAAACTGCTACAACACAAAAAATACAACCGCTACAACATCAACATTAACACTGCACAACTACATCACCAACGCTATTGGCAAACCTCACGCGGAGCTCAACCAACTGCTCTCTGCCATAAATACCACAAATTTAAGTGATTGCGTCCTTTAAAAAACCCTGCTAACTCTACCACAAATCTTTCTAAAGCAATCAAAGCTTTTGATTATCAAGGGAAACGGACACCCCCAAGAATCCGGGGGGTTGTTGGGTTACGCGAAATAAGATCGCGATTTTACAAGGGAACACCATGGTTAAATTACTACTGCCTACTGAAAAACGAACAAAGCAGGGGGTTACAAGCAATAAAATGATTTCCCAAAGGGGCTTTTTCAAAAAAGTAACAAACCTTCAAGTGGCCGTCATAACAGCCATTCTCAACTAAATACTTGTCTAAACATTTCAGGAGCACTGAGAACAGCCAGTCAAGCAATAGCAACATACAGGTACAAATCAGCGCATAGGGGGAACCCCCGGTCACTGTGCCAAAGTCTCTGTATCAACCCCCCTTCATTACTGTTACGTTGCCTTCCCCGAGCACACAACCCCCGCTTACTACAAATTCCGCAAGTACGTTTCAACAGTCAACTTTTAACTCTTTACCCTCAAACCCCCACAATTAAAAACCCAAAGACAACCCCCATGCAACGCTTTACTAACCTCACTCACAACCCCCCAAAATGTTAACTTCCTTTAAAAGCAACGATCAAGGATTTTTGGGCCCTTCATCCCTGAAACTGTACTTACCAAACTTGCCAACGTATCAACGCTCCATTGTTGAAGAAGGAAAAGAGATATCTCAAAACGATCCTGACCATTTGCAGATAAACCCCAAACATGCAAAACCGCATAAAAACCCAAAGGAAATGAAATAAAAAAATTCTAACACTCCAAAAACAAAAATACAGTTTACGGGGGTACAGACAAACAAATGATAGTCATAGGGCTTTTTTTCCCAACCTGGACTTTTAACTTTTGGCAATCAAAAATACCACCGTTTTCAAAGTGTATTAGTGCGCATAACTAGGAGGACTCAGGGGCGAGAACATTTAAAAACGTACAGAAACAAATCACCAACGAGGGGGAACAACTGTTTCTGTACCCACATACCATCTGTTGTTGTTACCCCATCACTTTTCCCCGCAACTACCATCCCGTTGTTGTAACCCCTACTCCCATTATTTTAACCACCACCCCTTTCTGTTGCAACTACACCCGTTGTGGCAACCCTAACCCGCTGTTCAACCCCTACTCCTGTTTTTGCAATACACTCCTGGTGGAACCAAACTCTTTTTCAAAACCACCACTGCTGTTGCAACTCTATCCTGTTGTGGCAACCACTACGCTGTTGCAACCCCTCTTTCGTTCAACAAAACTTCTTTTTGCAACCACACTTCTGTTGTTGCAACCACTACCCCTTGCTGTAACCATTCCTGCGGCAACCACTACTCCTGCTGTTGCAACTATACTCCCGTTGTGGCAACCACTACTGTGTTGAAAACCCCTACTGCTGTTTGCAACTATATCCTTTTTGGGGAACCACTACTCCGTTTTTCAACCCCAATCTGTTGTTGCAACCACTACTTCTGTTGTTGCAACCACTACTTCTGTTGTTGCAACCACTACTTCTGTTGTTGCAACCACTACTCCTGTTGTTGCAACCACTACTCCCGTTGTTACAACCACTTCCCCCATTGTTGCAACAACTACTCCCGTTGTAACCACCACCCAGTAATGTGCTACCACCACTGTGCGCAGCCACCCCAAAATGCGCTGCAACCACCCCCACTGCTGCTGCAAACCACCACCACTCTGCTGCAACCACCCCACTGCTGCTGCAACCACCACCACTGCGCTGCAACCACCACCCCTGCTGCTGCAACCACCCCCGCGTCAACCACCACCACGCGCTGCAAACCCCCACCACTGCTGCTGCAACCACCACCACTGCTGCTGCAACCACCACCACTGCTGCTGCAACCACCACCACTGCTGCTGCAACCACCACCACTGCTGCTGCAACCACCTCCCCACTAGGTTAAGCAGCATAAAACTTCCTCGACAGAATCATCATCGCCTGAGTGTACAACCTTGTCCTGGGCAGACTAAAAACATTAAGAACAACAACACCATCAACCCCGGAACTACAACAACCGAGATGTCTACTACAGGAAATGGAACAACTATAGGTATGCTCCCCTTCGTAAGTACCACCTTGAGGGGCATACCGAGGGTCGTCTCATTCTTGAGTACTGTCGTGGGTATTTTAATAAGTTTATGAGAACTTAACAGGAATACAATTAACAGATAATCATATAATGAATCTGTATAGTTTTATTGTTATTGTATGCATATAGATTATAAAATCACTCCAATTTCTCTCGCTCACCTCTATTTTTTTCTCTGTCTTCTGTATGTGTTAGTTTGACTTTGTAAATGGTCAAAGTCGGACCCACAAGTCATCGTAGTCTCTCTCCTGAGTGCAGTTATTTGTGTATTGTTCCAGTCACGTTATTGTGCCTTTATGTTCTTTTAGAATGATGGAGATGTCGTTATAGAAGTTTTATTTCTTCTATGTAGGGGAATGCCATCCCGAGGGATGACATTTTCCAGGTAATAGTAACTCCAACTCTGCTGGAACGAAGCCACCGAAGCTTTAATGGAATACTTGACGATATCTTCATTGTGCTGCTGAAGTCTCCCAGCTCAGGCTGGCACTTAGTTACCTATCAATTGTGATGCAACGTGACAGAGAAACATAGCTAGCTTTTGTCCTCACTGTCTAATTGTCACATAGAATAGTGCAGCAGCACACTGCTGATGTATTCAAATCCCTAAATAAAAATAAACAATTATGACAGAAACGAGATGACCTCCACCATTAGTAACAACGCTTACCATTATTTATCTAATAATTAATGTATATGTATATATATATATATATATATATATATATTATATATATTATATATATATATATATATATATATATATATATATATATATATATATAATATATATATCTATATA